CTCACTCATATCCTCCTCTTTCTGCCCAGGGAATCTGGATCCCTGATGGGGAGAACGTGAAAATTCCAGTGGCCATCAAAGTGTTGAGAGAAAACACATCCCCTAAAGCCAACAAAGAAATCTTAGACGTAAGCCCCTCCAACCTCTCCTGCTGGGAGGACAGGGAGGACCCCAGGGCTGCAGGTCTGGGCTCTGGTCTCTCTTCACTGGGGTTTGAGCAGATATGACTCCCTCAAACCTAGACTTTTTTTGGAGACAGAGTCTTGCTCTGTCACCCAGGCTGGAGTGCCGTGGCCCAATCTTGGCTCACTGCAATCTCTGCCTCTGGGGTTCAAGCAATTTTCATGCTTCATCGTCTTGAGTCGCTGGGATTATAAGCACCTGGCTAATTTTTGTATTTTTAGTAGAGATGGGGTTTCACCATGTTGTCCGGGCTGATACTTGGAGCCTTCATAGGCTGTGGGCTGTGGCTGTGGCTTGTGACGGTTGGGAGGCTGTGTGGTGGGTGGGGGTGTGTGGTCCCTGTACCCTCTCAGTGCATCCTTGTCCCCAGGAAGCGTATGTGATGGCTGGTGTGGGCTCCCCATATGTCTCCCGCCTCCTGGGCATCTGCCTGACATCCACAGTGCAACTGGTGACACAGCTCATGCCCTATGGCTGCCTCTTAGACCATGTCCGGGAACACCGAGGACGTCTGGGCTCCCAGGACCTGCTGAACTGGTGTGTGCAGATTGCCAAGGTATGCACTTAGGGCACCTGGGCTCTGTGCAGGTCACTTTGGAGCAAGCTCCTGTATCCACATGGGGCTAGGAGGGGGATGCTTGCTGGGCATGTGGCCAGGGCCAGGCCCTCCCAGATCTACACAGGTGCTTCCCATTCCAGGGGATGAGCTACCTGGAAGATGTGCGGCTCGTACACAGGGACTTGGCTGCCCGGAACGTGCTGGTCAAGAGTCCCAATCACGTCAAGATTACAGACTTCGGGCTAGCTCGGCTGCTGGACATTGATGAGACAGAATACCATGCAGATGGGGGCAAGGTTAGATGAGGGAGCAGGGGAGGCAGGGTGGAGTGGGTCTGGCCCCTGGGAGGACTCTGAGTGGCCGCCTCCCCACCACACCCAGTTGGAGGACTTCCTCTTCTGCCCCAGGTGCCCATCAAGTGGATGGCGTTGGAGTCCATTCTCCGCCGGCGGTTCACCCACCAGAGTGATGTGTGGAGTTACGGTGTGTGGTGGGGAGGGGTGGGTGAGGAGCCCTGCCTGGAGGGAGGATGAGAACTGGGATGGGGCCACGTCAGCATGTGGAGGGAGAGAAGCAGCTGCCTGTGCCCCACCTTGCAGGGTCTATGCACTAACCAGAATTAGAGAAAGACCGGGAGGCTCTGTCTCCTGACTTCACATCTTCCCCTGTTGCCGTGCTACGATCCTGGGCAGAACCTCTGGCTCAAGACACTAAAGCTCCCGCTGGCCCTCCCACCCCTGACTCTGTCTCTGCCTTAGGTGTGACTGTGTGGGAGCTGATGACTTTTGGGGCCAAACCTTATGATGGGATCCCAGCCCGGGAGATCCCTGACCTGCTGGAGAAGGGGGAGCGGCTGCCCCAGCCCCCCATCTGCACCATTGATGTCTACATGATCATGGTCAAATGTGCGTGGCTGAGCTCTGCTGGCTACTTGGAGGAGGGTTGGAGGTCCTGGGTGGAGGAACCCACAAGGGGCATGGGAGGGAACCAGGATGTATGTCGACCCAGGAGCTCTGGTATTTTAAAAGGAGCCTCAAAACCTCGTATCCCTTTTACAGTCAAAGTCTAGAGCCACTCTAGAGGAACACCCAGAGAACCTTCTGTACAAAATTAAGCTGGGCACACTTTCTCCATTTGTAAATATATTTTGGAAACTGCTGGGCACCCGCCTATGTCTGGGGCTGGCTCTGCACCATCCCTTTCTGTTCACCCTACACTCAACACCTCAGCCTCCCAAAGTGCCTGTAATCCCAGCACTTTGGGAGGCTGAGGTGGGAGGATCTCTTGAAGCCAGGAGTTCAAGACCAGCCTAGCCAACATAGTGAGACCCTGTCTCTACAAAAACTAAAAATTTGCTGGGTGTTTTGTGTGCCTGTAGTCCAAGCTACTCAGGAGGCTGAGGCAGGAGGATCACTTGAGCCCAGTTTAAGGTTGCAGTGAGCTATGACTGTGCCACTGAAATCCAGCCTGGGCAACAGAGAAAAAAAAAAAATTAAAAGGGAAATTAGTAGAGGTGCCCAAAGTTCTGGCTGAAGACCCCAGAGTCTAGTACTGCTTCTCTACCACCCGGGGCTGTCCCCTTGGGACTGTCTAGACCAGACTGGAGGGGGAGCGGGAGGGGAGAGGCAGCAAGCACACAGGGGCCGGGAACAGCAAGCTGACCTCCTTCCTGCCTCAGGTTGGATGATTGACTCTGAATGTCGGCCAAGATTCCGGGAGTTGGTGTCTGAATTCTCCCGAATGGCCAGGGACCCCCAGCGCTTTGTGGTCATCCAGGTACTGGGTGTCTGTGTCTGCTCCCTGCCTATGGCTAAGAGCATCCTCCTGCAGAGGGTGGGAAGGGGAGATGACCCCAGCGTGCCAGGCCCCTCACGGAAGGCTACATGCTGGGCTGGGGAGGGGCCGCCATCCCGCCTCTCTCCTTCCTCTGCAGAATGAGGACTTGGGCCCAGCCAGTCCCTTGGATAGCACCTTCTACCGCTCACTGCTGGAGGACGATGACATGGAGGACCTGGTGGATGCCGAGGAGTATCTGGTGCCCCAGCAGGGCTTCTTCTGCCCAGACCCTGCCCCAGGTGCTGGGGGCATGGCCCACCACAGGCACCGCAGCTCATCCACTAGGGTTAGTGCCATCGGTCACACTGTGTGGCTGTTTTTCTCCCCCAACCCCAGTGGACTAGGGTCCCTTTCTCTGATGTTCCCTCAATTGTCACCTCTCATAGAGACCCCATTATCCCTACAAAAAATACTTACCACCTTCCAACCTGTGACCCCATTCTCTTCATGGTGACTGTGTCATGTCCCAAAAGTGACCTCTGTTTTTCTTCTATGACCTTGTCATCTCCCATGGAGTCCCCATCCCAGATTCATGAGTGATCCCCATTATGACATTTTTTCTTGTCCCCAGAGTGGCAGTGGGGACCTGATGCTAGGGCTGGAGCCCTCTGAAGAGGAGGCCCCCAGGTCTCCACTGGCACCCTCCGAAGGGGCTGGCTCCGATGTATTTGATGGTGACCTGGGAATGGGAGCAGCCAAGGGGCTGCAAAGCCTCCCCCCACATGACCCCAGTCCTCTCCAGCGGTACAGTGAGGACCCCACAGTACCCCTGCCCTCTGAGACTGATGGCTACGTTGCCCCCCCGACCTGCAGCCCCCAGCCTGGTATGGAGTCCAGCCTCAGCTGAGAGACTTATGGGCGGGGGAGGTGGGGACCCTCAGTCCAGGGTCTACTGTGGGGGCAGGAGTAGCAGGGACACTGGGATTCCTTCCCCTAACAGGTCCTCTTCTCTTGCCCTTTTAGAATATGTGAACCAGCCAGATGTTCGGCCACAGCCCTCTTTGCCCCAAGAGGGTCCTCTGCCTCCTGCCCGACCTGCTGGTGCCACTCTGGAAAGGCCCAAGACTCTCTCCCCAGGGAAGAATGGGGTCGTCAAAGATGTTTTTGCCTTTGGGAGTGCCGTGGAGAACCCCGAGTACTTGGCACCCCGGGGAGGAGCTGCCCCTCAGCCCCACCCTCCTCCTGCCTTCAGCCCAGCCTTTGACAACCTCTATTACTGGGACCAGGACCCATCAGAGCGGGGGGCTCCACCCAGCACCTTCGAAGGGACCCCTACGGCAGAGAACCCAGAGTACCTGGGTCTTGACGTGCCAGTGTGAACCAGAAGGCCAAGTCCGCAGAGGCTCTGATGTGTCCTCAGGGAGTGGGGAAGGCCTGACTTCTGCTGGCATCAAGAGGCAGGAGGGCCCCCTGGCTACTTCCAGGGGGGCCTGCTGTACCAGGAGCCTGTCCTAAGGAAACTTCCTTCTGTCTGAGTTCCCAGGTGGCTGGAAGGGGTCCAGCCTGGTTGGAAGAGGAACAGCACTGGGGAGTCTTGGTGCATTCTGGAGCCCTGCCCAATGACTCTAGAGCCCAGTGGATGCCATGGCCCAGCCTGGCCCTTTCCTTCTAGATCCTGGATACTGGAAGCCTTAGGGAATCTGGCTTGAGAGGGGAAGCAGCCCTAAGGGAGTATCTAAGAACAAGAGTGATGCATTCAGACTGTCCCTGAGACCTAGTACTGCCCCCCATGGGGAAGGAGCAGCAATGGTGTCAGCATCCGGCCCTTGTACAAAGTGCTTTTCTGTTTAGTTTGTACTTTTTTTGTTTTGTTTTTTTTAAAGATGAAATAAAGACCCAGGGGGAGAATGGGTGTTATATGGGGGGTGGGAAGGTCCCTGGGGTTGGGGGAGGGATGGCCCTTCACACCCACTTTCTCCATTTGTAAATATATTTTGGAAACTGCTAGGCACTCGCCTATGTCTTGGGTGGCTCTGCACCATCCCTTCCTGCTCACCTTATACTCAACTCCTCTTTTCCTGGAGGGAGTGGCTGGGAATCTTCAGAAAACTTGGATGATGAGGCACCTAATATCCAGTTCCCCAGCTTCAGCGTTGGGGGGTATTGGGAAGCTGCATTCGGATCTGAGAGCGCTCTGACGACCAGATCATTCTTAGAACAAACTAATTCCTAAGGCCACTGATCAGAATGGGGTTATTTCCTCCTTGTGGGAAAGGAGGGTAGGGTGGGGGCAGGATCTCTTGTGGGACTCACTTTCCTTGCCTTGGCTATGCCAGAGGAGCTCACTGACCTAAGGAGTAACTGTTCAGAAAGTCCACACAGCCGGCACAGCCACCCTGGCGGCACAAAGGCTGGGCTGGCCTGATTTCTGTGCCCTACCATGTTCCCAGACTGGACATATAAAAACACATACTGGTTAGCATTAGTGTTTGTAGTGCCACTTTATTGCCAATAGCTGACATTGCACTGGACTAGGGGAGAATAAATAAGATCTACCGTGGCATCAGACAAGTATTACCAAGCTGGAGAGAGGACTGGGCTTTTGTGGGCACTTATCCTGGGAAGAGGGTATAAGGTGGCTGAGGAAGTGTCCGTGGAGAGTATCTCTTTCCTGCCCCCAACATCATGGAATCATCTATTCCTTCCGTGAACCCAAAGGGGCAAAGTGGAGGCCAGGGTCTCTTTGCTAAGGAGCTAAGTACAGGAAAGTGGCAGGGGGGGCTCCCAGAAGGACCACAGGGGAGACCAAGACTTGGACCCCAGAGCAGAGCAGGAATGCAGTCTGTGCAGTCACAGGATGATGCAGGGAGGACGGCTATTGGTGATCTTTTCTAGGGGTTCTCCGGTGCTGGCTCTTCGGATGGCCTCAATGAGCTAGCAGATAGAGATGCAGAATGGCAGGATGCACTGTTGGGGTAGGTGACCCAGAGGTCCTCCCAACACTGTAAATACTTACATCTTTCTCATAGGGAAAGCCCCCATTCTCCAGCTTGGAGAACACCAGCTGTCCATTGATCTCTATCTCAAAGGCGCCTGGTAAGAAATCAACAGATGAATAAATAATACACTGACAACACAGGCAGAAGTCAGGAGTTCCTCCAAAGGGGTCCTCTGACCACACAGGCTCTTTCAAGTCCCCCATCAGTCCCACTGGATACTCATTTGTAGCTTCTTAAGCCACTCCCCGACCCTGGGTTAACTCCAGGGAACCTGAGGGAGGCCTCACATGTGTGTCCCCAACAACACTCAATAAAGGACCCCTCCCCTCCAACCCTGCACAATTACATTTTAATTGGTTTTTCTCTACAGGCCTCCTCTGGGACCCCCCTGACCTACGGAAGGGAACTCATATTGGCTGGACATTTTCCCATATGCCAGGCACTGCGGGCACTTTACATAAAGCAGCCAATGTCAGAGCTAGAAAGCGGGAGAGCTGGGATTTAGAGCATAGATTGACTCAGCACGTGTTCCCTGAGCCTCACCTGTGCCCCCCAGGCGCGACTCGATCTCAATGCCCGGATACTGCTCCTTCACAGCACTGGCCAGCTCCAGGTAGGTCGCCTCGAAGCCGCAGGGTTCACTGGGGAGAAGAGATGGGGCTGGGCTGGGGATTCGGGGGTGGGGCCTCCCGTAGACCCACCTCCGTCCAGCCCGCGGGACCAGGGTGGGGCCCTTCAGCCGGAGACGCTCACCAGTACTCTACCACGATGTGGACCCCACTGCCCGGCTCGACCTCCCCAGGAAGGGGCGCTACGGACGTCTGCCCCGGCTCCCCGCTCATCGCTGCCGGCTTCTCGCGGGGCCCTGCTTCCGGGTGTGACGCGCGCCGCGGGCACGTGACGGGGCGAGGCCTCGAGCTGGGCGGGGCCGAGCGTGGCCTCTGGGCGCCCCCTGCAGGCCTCGGCCACTGCTACGTTTTGACCTCGTAACGCAGCTCCGGAGCTCTCACCCTGGGTAGCGGCTGGGAGGACCCGTCCAGACCCTACTTCCCTGGCTCAGGCTCCCGGAGTACCGGGCTTCCCCACTCCAGGTGTCCGCCGGACTTTATAACTTCATTTACTCTAATGGACAATCTCAGACTGCAAAGCACTTTTTAGTTTGCCAAAGAAAGAGAAAGTGGTGGGGCAGGCATCCTGGGGATGGGGGCGGGTGTGGCTGATGTATGAAATAGTTGACATTTTCTCTCTAACATGCTGATGGCACTTGTTTGTTTGTTTTGAGACGGAGTCTCGCACTTGTTGCCCAGGCTGGAGTGCAATGGCACGATCTCTCAGCTCACTGCAACCTCCGCCTCCAGGTTCAAACGATTCTCCTCTGCCTCAGCCTCCTGAGTAGCTGGGACTACAGGCATATGCCACCGCACCCGGCTAATTTTGTATTCTTAGTAGAGAGGGTTTCACCATGTTGGTCAGACTGGTCTCGAACTCTTGACCTCAGGTGATCCACCCACCTTGGCCTCCCAAAGCGCCAGGATTACAGGCATGAGCCACCGTGCCCGACCCAGTATTTATTTATTTATTTTTTAGTGGAGACAGGGTTTCACCATGTTGGCCAGGCTGGTCTTGAACTCCTGACCTCAGGTGATCCACCCACCTCGGCCTCCCAAAGCACTGGGATTATGGGTGTGAGCCACTAAGCCTGGCGATGATGGCATTTGAAACCGCCCTGTAGTTATATAAACAAGTGTTTCTGACCCCAATGCTCGAAACTGCTTTTTCCAGTCTCACAACTGCCTCTTCCTGCACTGGAGAACCGTAGATGCTCTTCAAGATCTGTGCCCCCATCAGTTACTGCACATCCCCTTCTCATCCCAGCCTCTCACTTCGGGGCTAGTGTCATTATTCTCATTTTGCAGCTCCGGAAATGGAGGCTACGCAAGTCCTCGCTGCCTTTTCCCTGCCTGCAGTACAGCTATGGTATTCTGGTGTCACACCACCCACTCTAGTGTCCCTTTAGACTACTCGATTTTTTTTTTTTTTTTTGAGACAGAGTCTTGCTCTGTCACCCAGGCTGGAGTGCATGCACGATCTCGGCTCACTGCAACCTCTGCCTCCCGGGTTTAGGCGATTCTCCTGCCTCAGCCTCCTGAGTAGCTGAGATTACAGGCGCCAGCCACCATGCCCAGCTAATTTTTGTGTTTTAATGGAGATGGGGGTTTCATCATATTAGCCAGGTTGGTCTTGAACTCCTGATCTCAGGTGATCCACCCGCCTGGGCCTCCCAAAGTGCTGGGATTACAGTTGTGAGTAATCCCAGCACTTTGGGAGGCTGAGGTTAAATTTAAAAATTTAATTTTAAATTTAAAAAAAATTAAAAAAAATTTTTTTAAACCAGGCCAGGCATGGTGGCTCATGCCTGTAATCCCAGCATTTTGGGAGGACAAGGTGGGAGGATCACTTGAGGTTAGGAGTTCCAGACCAGCCTGGCCAACATAGCAAAACCCTGTCTGTACTAAAAATAGAAAAATTAGTTGGTCATAGTGGCGCATGCCTATAATCCCAGCTATTCGGGAGGCTGAGGCAGGAGAATCACTTGAACCCAGCAGGCAGAGGTTGCAGTGAGCCAGTGCACTCCAGCCTGGGTGACAGAGTGAGACTGTGTCTTAAAAAAAAAAGAAGGAAAGAAAGAAAACTCCGTGATTTAAAAGTCTTAAGGCTGCCTTGGCCTTTTTTCCAGTCCAGGTCTTAAATTTTTCCTCCTCTTCCACAATAATAATGAGTATGAATTCAGTTTGTTCGCAAAGCCTGCCTTGCTCTGAAGCATCCGACTGTGGAGAATCTTCACCCACGCCTGTGATTTGTGAGCCTGAAGAAAATTATCCATCCTTGCAGATGTGTTCTGCTGAGATGCCTCACACAGAGACTGATGGAGTCTTGCTCTGATACCCAGGCTGGAGTGCAGTTGCTGGATCTCTGCTTACAACACCTCTGCCTCCCAGGTTCAAATGATTCTCCTGCCTCAGTCCCCTGAGCAGCTGGGATTACAGGTGCCCATCACCATGCCCAGCTAATTTTTTTTTGTATTTTTAGTAGAGATGGGGGTTTTACATTATTTGCCAAGCTGGTCTCAAACTCCTGACCTCAAGTGATCCACCCGCCTAGACTTCCCAAAGTTATAGGATTACAGATGTGAGCCACCGGTCTGGCTGAGAAAGAAAGAAAGAGAGAAAGAGAGAAAGAGAGAAAGAGAGAGAGAGAGAGAAAGAGAGAGAGAAAGAGAGAGAGGGAGGGAGGGAAGGAGGGAGGGAGGGAGGGAGGGAGGGAGGAAGGAAGGAAGGAAGGAAGGAAGGAATTCAGTGATTTGTACAATTGCCTAACCATGACTACATTCCAATTACAGAACGTTTCTGTCAACCTGATAAGGTTCCTTCTGCCTGTTTCTGGTCGATCTATCTCCCAGTTCCAGTCCTATGCAACCACTGATCTGCTTTCTGTCTCTAACTTTGCTTTTTCTGGATGTTTCATATACACTATAATAATACACTATGTAGTCTTTAGCTTCTGGCTTCTTTCACTCAGTATGATTTTTGAGATGCATTCATGCTGTAGGATCTAGAGTAGTTTGTTCTTTTTTATTGCTGAGTAGTATTCCACTGTGTGGTTACACCACATTTTGTTTCTTAATTCACTAGTTTTTTTTTTTTTTTTAGACGGAGTTTCACTCTTGTTGCCCAGGCTGGAGTGCAATGGTGCAATCTCGGCTCACCACAACCTCCACCTCCTGGGTTCAGGCAATTCTCCTGCCTCAGCCTCCTGAGTAGCTGGGATTACAGGCACGTGCCACCATGCCCAGCTAATTTTTTGTATTTTTAGTAGAGACGGGGTTTCACCATGTTGACCAGGATGGTCTTGATCTCTTGACCTCGTAATCCACCCTCCTCGGCCTCCCAAAGTGCTGGGATTACAGACGTGAGCCACCGCGCCCAGCTTAATTCACTAGTTGATGGATATTTAGGATTCCAGTTTTTGTCTATTTTGAATAATCTGCTATGAATGTTTATCTAGGTGTCTTTGTATAGATACGTGTTTTCATTTCTCTTGGGTTGATTCCTAAGGGTAGAACTGCTGGATTGTGTGGTAAGTTTATGATTAACTTTTTTTTTTTTTTTTTGAGACAGACTCTCTCTCCGTTGCCCAGGCTAGAATGCAGCAGTGCAAACACAGCTCACTGCAGCCTCGACCTGCTGAACTCAAGCTATCCTCTTGCCTCAGCCTCCTGAATAGCTGAGACTACAGACATGCACCACCATGTCCCCCTAGTTTTTTTGTATTTTTTGTAGAGACAAGGTTTTGCCATTTTCTCAGGCTAATGTTTAGCTTTTTAAGAAATGGCCAGGGTGGGGCACGGTGGGTCATGCCTGTAATCCCAGCACTTTGGGAGGCTGAGGTGGGCAAATCACCTGAGGTCAGGAGTTCGATACCAGCCTGACCAATATGGTGAAATCCCGTCTCCACTAAAAATACAAAAATTAGGGGCCGGGCATGGTGGCTCACCCCATAATCCCAGCACTTTGGAAGGCCAAGATAGGCAGATCACCTGAGGTCGGGAGTTCGAGACCAGCCATGACTAACATGGAGAAACTCTGTTTCTACTAAAAATACAAAATTAGCTGGGTGTGGTGGTACATGCCTGTAATCCTGGCTACTTGGGAAGCGAAGACAGGAGAATCCCTTGAATCCGGGAGGCAGAGGTTGCAGTGAGCTGAGATTTTGCCACCTCACTCCAGAGACAGAGCAAGAATCCATCTCAAAAACAAAAAACAAAAATTAGCCAGGTGTGGTAGTGGGCGCCTGTAGTCCCAGCTACTCAGGAGGCTGAGACAGGAGAATTGCTTGAACCCCAGAGTTGGAGGTTGCAGTGAGCCAAGATCAAGCCACTGCACTCCAGCCTGGGCAACAAAGCAAGACTATCTCAAAAAAACAAAAAACAAAAACCAAAAAGAGAAACAGCCAGACTGTTTTTCAAAGTGGCAGCACCATTTTACATCCCCACCAGCAATATATGAGGATTTGTCTCTCTATATCCTCACCAATACTTGTTTCTTTCTCTTTGGTTATAAGCATCCTAGTGGGCATGTCATGGTATATCATTGTGGTTTTAATTCTCATTTATCTAATGACTATGTTGTGTATCTTTTCATGTAGTTATTAGCCATTCATATACATATTATTTGAAGAAACATCTATTCAAGTATTTTGCCCATTTTTATTAGGATTGTTTGTCTATTATTGATTTGTAGAAGTTCTTTATATATTTTGATTGCCAACCAAAATATATACAACCATATATGGTTCTATATGATTTGCAACTATTTTTTCCCAATCTTTGGCTCGTTTTTTTTTTTTTCTTTCTTTCTTTGAGACAGGGTCTCACAGTGTCACCCAGGCTGGAGTGTAGTGGCACAATCTCGGCTCACTGCAACCTCTGCTTCCCGGGTTCAAGCCTCCCAAGTAGCTGGGATTACAGGCATGTGCCACCATGGCCCAGCTAATTTTTTGTATTTTTAGTAGAGATGGCCAGGCCGTGTGCATTATGTTGGCCAGGTTGGTCTGGAGCTCCTGGGCCTCAAGTGATCTGCCTGCCTCAGCCTCCCAAAGTGCTGGGACCACAGGCATGATCTATTTCACCTGACTTCTTTTCTCCTTTGTTTTTTTTTTTGAGACGGGATCTTGCTCTGTCACCCAGGTTGGAGCACAGTGGCACAATCACAGCTCACTGCAGTCTCAGCTTTGCAGCCTCAAGCAATTGTCACACCTCAGCCCCACCAAGTAGCTGGGAATACAGGCCTGCACCACCATACCCAGATACATTTTATATTTTTTGTAGAGATGAGGTCTTGCCATGTTGCCTAGGTTGGTCGCAAGTTCCTGGGCTCAAACAATTCACCTGCCCAAAGCGCTGCTGGGATTAAGGTGTGAGCCACCAAGCCTGGCCTCTTCTTAGTGGTGGCTTTTGAAGTACAAAAATTTTAAATTGTGATGAAGTCTAACATCAGTTTTTTTCTCTTGTCAGTTATCTTTTGCTGTTCAATTTAAGTTCTCTGACTAACCCGAGGTCATGAAGACTATTTCCCATGGTTTCTTCTAGAGGTTAGATGGTTTTAGCTCTTACATTCAGGTATATGATCTGAGTTTCTTTTTTTATTAATGCATCCTGTGAGCAAAAGATCTAAATTCATCTTTTGGCCTATCAAATTGATCACAGCGTCATCCTCTCCTCCATCAAATTGTCTTGGCACCCCGTAAAAAATCAATTGACCAGAAATGTAAGGGTTTCTTCTTGGACTCTGGATTCTGTTCTACTGACCTATAAACACGTTCTTATTTATTTATTTTAGATGGAGTCTGGCTCTGTTGCCCAGGCTGGAGTGCGGTGGCGTGATCTTGGCTCACTGCAACCTCTGCCTCCTGGTTTCAAGGGATTCTCCTACCTCAGTCTCCCGAGTAGCTGGGATTACAGGTGCACACCACCACGCCCAGCTAATTTTTGTATTTTTAGTAGAGACGGGGTTTCACCATGTCGGCCAGGTCTCAAACTCCTGACCTCATGATCCACCTGCCTTGGTCTCTCAAAGTGTTGGGATTATAGGTATGTGCCACCGCACCCGGCCTTATTGTTGTTGTTTTTGAATTTAGATACAACTCATACACGGTAAATTTCATCCTATTGAGGGTGCCTTTCTATGAGTCCTAATAAACACACACAGTTGTGCATCCAACTCCACAACCAAGATACAGAACAGCCCCATCACCTCCCATGAGTCCCGGTGCCTGCTACTATGGATCCTTTTCCCTCCCCCGCAACCCCAGGCCTGCTTTTTGTCCACACAGTTCCTCCCCCTCCAGAAAGCCGTATAATTGATTCCTTCAGCACTCAGCCCTCTGAGTGTGGCTTCAACATCCAGGATGATCTTTCCAAAATGTCAATGTGCCCTCTCCTCTGTGCTTCTGCTCAAGTCTAAATACAACTTGCAGGGTCTGGCCTTTGACTGCTACTCCTACGCATCTGGACAAACAGGATGGATGGCTCTCAAATCTGGCTTGCAGAACAGCTACCTGAGGGCTTGTCAATATCACACATTCCTGGGTCTTAGCCCCAGAGACTGAGATTCAGTTGCTGGAGAGGAGCCCAAGGATCTGTTTTTCACACAAGTTTAGGGAGGTGTGGAGGCAGGTGTGTCACAGGCCACATTTGCAGAAGGACAGCTGCCTCTCTTCATACCTTCCACAGCTGTCCAGCTTCACCTGTGTGGCCTCTGCTGCCTCCCTTCTCCTCCAGCCCCACTCTGTCTCTGCCTGCTGCGTTCCCTCCTGCCCAGAGCTCTGGTACTGGTTTCCTCGCTGGGGACTGTGGCCTCCTTCCCAATTCCCATCTACTGATTCCAACCTCCTTCTCATGCAAGCCAGCTTCTCCTCTGCTCAGCTGTCACCTCCACAGAGAAGTCTTTCCTGACTCCCTACGTGAGTCACTCTCCCAGCAGTTGTCACCCGCCATTTCTTATTTGTGTGATTCTTTGATTAACATCAGTCTCCCTGAGGGCCTATTTTTGTTGCTTACCCCTGTATCCCCACCACCAAACATGGGGCTGGCATATGGTAGGTACTGAACAGAGAGTTGAATAAATGAATGAGTGAATTATCTACTCCGCCTTTGCACAAACTGCTCAGGAGAACTTGCCTCCTCCCCAACTTCTTTGCTTGGCTCACTCTTACCAGTTTTCTGAGGAAAACTTTGGAGAAAATTGAGGCAGGAGCCACTCCTCTGTCCTTCCTCAGGGTGGACCTCTTATCCCCCTAAGGATTGTTTTTTCTTTGTTGTTTTTTTTGAAGATGGAGTCTCACTCTGTCACCTAGGCTGGAGTGCGATGGCATGATCTCGGCTCACTGCAACCTCCGTCCCGGGTTCAGGCAATTCTCCTGCCACAGCCTCCTGAGTGGCTGGGACTACAGGCGCACACCACCACGCCCGGCTAGTTTTTGTATTTTTAGTAGAAACAGGGTTTCACCATGTTGGCCAGGATAGTCTTGATCTCCTAACCTTGTGATCCACCCCCCCTCAGCCTCCCAAACTGCTGGGATTACAGGCGTGAGCCACCACGCCCGGCGCCCAGCGCCCAGGGGATTGTTTGTTTTCCTGTCACCCACATCAAGCTGGGTGGTGGCCGCAGCCTTTGATCTCTGCCTCCCAGCCCCTCTCCCAAGTACCCTGTGTTTGCCTACTGCTGAGTGAGAGAGCCACAGTGATCCCTCTAAGAGGAATCCCCAGGTGCCCAGGCCACAGCTTTCTGCAGATCACTATGGCTCCTCCACTGTGCCACCCTGCCTAACCCCCTCAATTTTAAAGGGGAAGCTGAGACTCTGGACTTTGCTCAGAATTGTGTGTGTGGGGGTGTACCATGGGTGCCTCCAAGGGGACAGGGGGCAGACACCATGGAATGGGTGGCTGCAGGTAGAGGGGCTGGCCATGTTGCTGGGCAACCCCCTGGCTGGCATCCCTCCTTGGCAGGATGCTTTTTGCTTCAGGGGGTGGGAACCAGAGCTGTAGATGGGCCCCCTGGCTTGGCTAATGATCAGACCAGGTTTGCGGAGGGTGTTGGGGAAGAGTGGACGGAGTGGTTCTTCTTACCTTGCAGCCCCCAGGCCCTCCCTCTCCCTCCCAGGTGGTCGGGACTCTTGATCTTCGCTCTCGGTGCTGTCTCTTTGGTTGTCTTCCCCGCCTCTCCCAGGCACCTGCACCCTCCCTTGGCACCTGCTGCCAGGCTAGGAAGGGCAAAAACAATCCCAGTTGGGTAGAGTGTCAGGGAGTCTCCGCCCTCCTCCCAGGCGCCTCCCCCGACCCGCCCCCATCTGCCCAAGATAATTTTAGTTTCCTTGGGCCTGGAATCTAGACACACAGGGCTCCCCCCGCCCCTGACTTCTCCATCTGAAGTCGGGACACCCTCCTGCCACCTGTAGAGTGGATCTGAAATAAAATCCAGGCATCTGAAGGTTCCTAGACAGAGCCAGACTTCAGACCGGGTGTCCTGCTACAGCCGCTGGGACTCCTCCAGGTAAGGCGACCGAGATCGGTCTCAGAGGACAGCTTGCCAGGCAACCCCCAGCCGCATCAGGGCCCCAGGCTGTGCCCGTTTCCGGCTGAACTGGCCGGCGGCCCAGGTGGGCGGACTGGAGGCCACCTGGCTCTCCCCCTCCCCCCGCTCGGTGATGTCAGGCCCGGGGCGGGGGCCGAAGGGGGACAGGTAGTTAAGGGCCTGGCGTCTCGCTCCCTAAAGACGTGATCCCAGCCGGGTGTCCTGACGCCTGGGGTTCAGGTAAGGACCCAAACGGGCATTCATCCTTTGGGGGCAGGCACGGCCGGTCTGGGGGCCAGTAGGGAAAGGCTGGGTCTCCCACTTTTCTCTTTTCCGCCCATCTCCCATCCCGCCCCCTCCTCCCCGCCCGCCCGCCCGCTTTCGTACCCATCCTGATTTCCAGCCCTCCTCGTTCCCTCCCTGTACACCTCCCAGCAGCCAGCAGCTGAGAATGGGAAGGAAGACTTGATTCTCTCCTCAAACCTGGCTTTCCCGCTGAAACTAGCCCCTCCCCGCACACCCGGAGAGAGCCGCCCTCACTGCCCGGCTCGCCCAGTTTACCCCAGTTTGGGTTTTCCAAGTCTCTAAGACGTCTCCTCGGGCTGCTGGGAGGGCCCCCTCCACTTTGGAGGGAGTGGAGGAGAGGGATCCTCTAAATTGTTGAGGCTCCATCTCTCCAAATTGTATGCGCTGCTCAGCAACAGCGTCTCCGGCCCTCAGATGGGAAAGTGCAGGCCGGGTGGGGCGGGGACCCTCCTGGCTTCTGCATGAGGTGGGCAGGAAGGCTTGAGGGGTGGATGGGGGACTCTGCAGTGCAGTGGGGCCTGGGGAGAGCGGGGTGGGGGGTGGCAGATGGTCTCTTCTGCTTGATGAGGCTAGAGAGAGACCCTGGTTCCCAGTCTGGGTCTCCCTGGCAGACTGGGGACATAGAATGCACCTGCCGGCAAGGTGTAACCCCTCCCCAGCCGCGTTGCCCCCCAGGAAGGCTCTCTTTTGGTCCGCCCGTGTTGAACTCTGCTCTCTCCTCTCCTGATATTCTGCTGTGTGCGGGGTGGGGGACTCCCGGAGGCGGGCAGCCTGTAATGATTAACCGCACAGACACTCCAGCATTCTTCCCGAATTCAACTTTAAAAGATCTGCCCCGCCTTCTCCCATTAGGTGTTTTTCCTGAGTGAGAGAGTGGGCCGGGCCTCAGAGTCTTGGGTCCTCCCTTCTCCGAGTCATCCTGGGGTTTCTTAACCTTCTCACCTGGGCCCTGCACCCTAAAAGGTTATAAGCCTCTCCTGTGGGGGCGAGGCTGGAATGCTGTGGGGACTGGGACTCTCCCGCAGCATCCAGGCCCCGGACCCCGGCCTCAGTGCCACCAGCCCTTCCCCCAGCTCTGGGAAGCAGGGTTGTTTTCGGTTGGCCCTGCACGCTGGGCCCTGCCACCCTCCCTTAGGGCCAGCCAGGTGGGGCGTGATTCAGGAAGTAAACAAGGAGGTTGGGAGGACCGGAACGAGGGTGGGGCTGGAGCCACTAGGGGAGGAGGCAGCTGGAAAGCCATGGCTGGAGTGGCCTCCTTGAGGGGACATACTGATTTTGGGCATCAGTTTTTCCAACCGAAGCTTTCCTGGGGCCTCAGTTTGAGCTGCCAGGCCCACGGCACGGACCTCTTCCTCCTCCCTGCTCAGGCCATTGGTCTTGACGATCCCACTGGCCTCCAGCCTTAGAAGGGGCTGAAAAACAAGGTGGTGGATCTGAGGGTACTTCCCAGCCTTGGGCTGGCCCTCTCTGATCTCTGAGGCCAGGTGCTAATGTGATTCGAATCCACTTCTAACCCCTTCCAAGCACTGCCCTCCCAAATTCTCTACTCCTCTCCCACCCCACTATTAGTCTGTGACTTCGTGGAAGGTGTGGCCCCCTGTAGCCTGGAATGAAGTCACCAGGGCTGTTTGGAGAGGTTAGACAGGGTGGGAGTGGGGGAGTGTGTTCTGGTGTTGAGGTGCTGGTCTCTTGCCAGTGAGTGGTGGGTGTGTCTTGACCCTCCTGGCAGGACCCTGAGCCCCTCCCTGGCCTTTTGTCCTGTCTGGCATCTTGAGTGCTCTTGTGGTACCTCTCTGGCCGGGACACCCAGCAGAATGTGTCAGAAGGAGCCTCATCCCCTGGGCCAGATGTGTTTCCCAGTGCTGGGGCACCCAGCAGCAGGGTGAGACCTGGTAGACCCCAGACACAGGGCAGGAGGAGCTCCGAGCAATGCTTTGGGTCGGGAGGGGCACCGCTAGGATGCCAGCTTCTCTCGAATCCAGGCCGGGCATTGCCTCTCTCCCTCCCAGGGGAGGGACTCCCTGGCCAGGTGGTGGTTTGGGACTGGGGGGTGAGAGCAGATCGTGGGTCCCACCTGGCCTGGAGCTAGGCCAAGGGTAGGGAGGAGGAGGTGACGTCAGACGAGCCTCAGGACCCACATTCTCCTCCCCCATCCTGTTCCCAGCCCCTTGCCTCCCCCATTTCTCTCCGGCTACCAGTGGGTTGGGGAGTTGGGGGGAGGGTAGAGGCAGGGCTGTTTTTTTTCTCCTAAGCCAGGAAGTTGTGTGGTGAGTCAAGGTTGAATGAAGAGCCCTAGGCCGTGCTGTCCTTCCTGCCCTGACTCACCTGTCCCCCAAGTCCCCTAGTACCCTCACTGAAGGGTCAGGTGCCTGCTCCATCCTGAGGGGACAGTCCAGGTGCCCCAAGTGGCCTTATAGTACTGGCCCAGTGTTTGGAGAACAGGCTGGGGGCTGGGATTGCAGGTTCTCCCAGGTCTCAGCCCAGAAAAAGGGGTCTGCTGGGTTCCTTCGGAGGAGGGGCCAGCCCCGCCTTCACCTCTAGGGTTCGCCTTTGCCACCCTCCTGTCTTTACTGGTCCTGAGTGTCTGAGCAGCCCCTGTAGGTGATAAGACATGGGTGAGAGATTGGCCTTGGCTGGGGCTACCAGGTGCCCTGAGACAAGTGGGCAGATAAGACAGGTGCACAGTGACGGATGATGCGTCCCCACAGGGTACTGAGAGGGAGTCTTTCAGTCTGAATGTGGAAAGCTAGGAAGGCTTCTCAGAGGAAGTGACTCTAGCATTGGGACTTCAGGAAAGAGCTGGGCAGGAGGATGGCCTGGGAGGGTACACAGGTTTGTGGGCTGCTAGGGCTAGGTCCCCACCACCCCAGACCTGCTCTCTCCCTTGCACTGCAGCCGAGCCAGCCCTCCTGCCTTCCTGGCTCCCATCCTTCCCCGCCTCCTTCTCCTTCTGCATCACTCATCACTTGGGCAGGCCAAACTTTGCCAAGTACGAACAGGCTCTGGCAACTGGGTCTGGCAACAAAGCGCTGGAAAAACCCGGGGCAGAACCCGGCATAGTGAGTGGCCCACTTGTGGAGGCAAAGGAGTGGGCCTTAGTCTGTGGGTGGTAAAATCTATTGTGACCACCAGGCTTGTGGTGGTTGGACCCTCAGCTCTTTTTGTGAACAACTTTAAAAAAAAATTTTTTTTTTTTTTTGGTTATTGAATGAGAGCTTCTTATGTTGCTCAGGTTGGCCTTGAACTCATAGCCTCGCCTCCTAGCGCCAGGACAACTGGCCGGAGCCACCACGGCTCCCTCATGAACAACTTTGTGCTAAAGAAAGAGTACTGGGGGCCAGGTATGGTGGCGCGTGCCTGTAATCCCAGATACTCAGGAGGCTGAGGCAGGAGAATCGCTTGAACCTAGGAGGCAGAGGTTTCATTGCACTCCAGCCTGGGTGACAGAGAGACTCCATCTCAAAAAAAGAGCTCTAGGGCTGGGTGTGGTAGCTCATGCCTATAATCCCAGTACTTTGGGAGGCCAAGACAGGCAGATCAGGAGTTCGAGACCAGCCTGGCCAACATGGCAAAAGCCTGCCTCTACTAAAAATACAAAAATTAGCCGGGCATGGTGGCAGGCACACCAAGTTGGAGCCACTGCAACCAACCAGACAAACAAACAAAAAACAGAAACAGAAAGAACACTAATGGCACTGGACTTGGAGTCCAGACACCAGGTTCTACCCCGACTCACCCGTGACTGAGGGCAAGAATGCTTCCTTCTCAGAGACCCGGTGTCCCCTTTTGTAAAATGAGGCTTATTCTATCCTTCCCTAAGGGCTTCAGGGAAACTCCAGTTAGAGCAGTGAGGTGCTAAGTAAACTCTGAGGGGCACCCTAACCACTGTGTGAGGTCAGGAGGTCTGAATTCTCTCGTCCCCTCTTCCCAGGACAAGGCCACACAACTGGTTCCCTTCAGCCCCTCTCCCTCAGACACCATGGAGCTGGATCTGTCTCCACCTCATCTTGGCAGCTCTCCGGAAGACCTCTGCCCAGCCCCTGGGGCCCCTCCTGGGAATCCTTGGCCCCCAGAGGGCCCTGTGCCTGAGGAGGTAAAGAGGTCCCAGCCTCTCCTCATCCCAACCACCAGCAGGTATGACGGGACATGTGGCTTGGGGGAGGTCAGTGCTGGATAATACACAGAGGCTTGCAGGCCACGCCTCCTCCTCCCCACACCTCTCTCCCTTCTTTTTGCCCCAGGAAACTTCGAGAGGAGGAACGGCGTGCCACCTCCCTCCCCTCCATCCCCAACCCCTTCCCTGAGCTCTGCAGTCCTCCCCCACAGAGCCCCATTCTCAGGGGGCCCTCCAGTGTACGGGGGCTGCTCCCACGCGATGCCAGCTGCCCCCATGTGAGTTGTCCCTCAGAAGGGAAGGCAGGGATTGGGGAGCATTCTGGGTCTGCAGGAGATATACAGCTGGTTCCCTGGAGGCGGGGGATCTTGGTCAGGTCCCCGAGGGTCTAGCAGGTAGGGAAAGGGAAGGAATCACCCTTTGCTTCCCCTCAAGTCATCTGCAATTCCTGCGGCACAGGTAGTAAAGGTATACAGTGAGGATGGGGCCTGCAGGTCTGTGGAGGTGGAGGCAGGTGCCACAGCTCGCCACGTGTGTGAAATGCTGGTGCAGCGAACTCATGCCTTGAGCGATGAGACCTGGGGGCTGGTGGAGTGCCACCCCCACCTAGCACTGGGTGAGTCAGTTGTATGGAACTGTCTGGGCTGGGAGGCAGTGCCTCGCATCTTGGGCTAGGCGTGTGGCTCATCCAGGAGATCTGGTTGATCTCCAGTAACCCCTGTTTTTTGCCCTTGACCCCAGAGCGGGGTTTAGAGGACCACGAGTCCGTGGTGGAAGTGCAGGCTGCCTGGCCCGTGGGTGGAGATAGCCGCTTCATCTTCCGGAAAAACTTCGCCAAGTATGAACTGTTCAAGAGCTCCCCAGTGAGTGTGTTTCGGCTGTCTGGGCTCTGGGACTCCCTGATCCTCAACCTGGACGCTGGAGCCCTGAGCCCTGCCCCTTTTCCACCCACAGCACTCCCTGTTCCCAGAAAAAATGGTCTCCAGCTGTCTCGATGCACACACTGGTGTATCCCATGAAGACCTCATCCAGGTGGGGGGAACCCCCATTTCACATTTCACTGCATATTCACGGCTCCCCAGAACTGGCCAGTGCTTTTCTGCCCTTAAGTCCCTCCTCTCTGTGGTAGAAAGAGCCCAGCCTCAGTCTTGTGTGACTGTGGACAAGTCATTTTTTCTGCCTGAGCATCAGTTTCTTCTGTTGAATGGGGGTGAGAAATGCATGTGGAGCATCTCCTTGTAAAAACCTGAGGGTGGGCTGTGCATGGTGGCTCACACCTGTAATCCCAGCACTTCGGGAGGTTAGGGTGGGAGGATTACTTGAGCCCAGGAGTTTGAGACCAGCCTGGGTAACATAGTGAGACATTGTCTCTACAAAAGAAAAAAAAAAAAAAAAGAAGCAGCAGCCGGAAATGGTGGCATGAGCCTGTGGTCCCAGGTGCTTGAGAGGCTGAGGTGGGAGGATCAGTTGAGCTTGGGAGGTCAAGGTTGTGGTGAGCTGTGATGGCGTCACTGCACTAGGGTGAGACCCTGTCTCAAAAAGAAAAAGAAAAAGATCTTGGTGGTAGAGGGGAAGGGAGGAGATCAGACCTCTCACTCTCCTCTGCTCTCTGGCTCAGAACTTCCTGAATGTTGGCAGCTTCCCTGAGATCCAGGGCTTTCTGCAGCTTCGGGGATCAGGACGGAAGCTTTGGAAACGCTTTTTCTGCTTCTTGCGCCGATCTGGCCTTTATTACTCCACCAAGGGCACCTCTAAGGTGAGGTCTTGAGGGTGCCAGTCCCAGCTTCTCCAGTCCCACCAGTCCCTGGTCCTTCTAGAAGTTGCCCCTTCTCTGCTGGAACCCCCTGAGCCCTTCTCCCCAGGCACCCGCAGGCCAGCCACCTCCAGTTTACCACCCCTGCCCACAGCCTTGCCCAGCTCACCTGCCCAGGGAGGTAGCAGGAGAAAAGATGACCCGAGTTTAAGTCCTGACTCTACTTCTATTTGCTGTGTGACCCTGGGCACTCCCCTGCCCCTCTCTGGTCCTAAATTCGCCCCACCTGGCTTGGGGAGAGGCAGTAAGAGGGGTTGGGATCCACCTGTACCAAGTCCTGCTCTCTCGTGCTACTCAGGATCCGAGGCACCTGCAGTACGTGGCAGATGTGAATGAGTCCAACGTGTATGTGGTGACTCAAGGCCGCAAGCTCTACGGGATGCCCACAGACTTCGGCTTCTGTGTCAAGGTGAAGACCTGGGCCGGCCTGGCCCTTGGGGGAAGCAGGAACTGCTCAGGCCTCTGGATCCTACCTGGGGCTTCTGAGCCCCAATTCAGATGCCCAGACTCCTCTCCCTGCACCCTGCCCTGCTGGAAACTCCTTGGATCCTGCTCTGCTCTGTGGAGCAGGGACAGACACATGGTCTTACAGGCGGATACAGATCCAGCCAATTTCCTCTCCCTGTAGCCCAACAAGCTTCGAAATGGCCACAAGGGGCTTCGCATCTTCTGCAGTGAAGACGAGCAGAGCCGCACCTGCTGGCTGGCTGCCTTCCGCCTCTTCAAGGTGAGGCCCTGGGAGTGACATGGTGGGCTGGCCTGGCCAGGGGGATCCCCAGTTCTACCCCCAAGAAGCCTCTGGAATGAGGAGGGCATCACAGCCTTGCTCTCTGATAACCCCCTGTCCAAGCCTGATGTTATAGGAAGTGCCCATCCAAGGCAGACACACAGCCCTGCCCTGGGCAAGTCCTGTTCTGCGGGGGGTGTCACAGCTGTACCCCACCAACCTCAATCTCAGGCCATTTTTCTCTCCACAACCCCAGTATGGGGCGCAGCTGTACAAGAATTACCAGCAGGCACAGTCTCGCCACCTGCGTCCGTCTTGTTTGGGCTCTCCACCGTTGGTGAGTGTGCACGGGATGGGAGGGTGGGCATGCAGGCCTTGTCCCAGGGGTATCTGTACACTGTCCTGACCTCTCCCCTCTCCTTCCTTCTCCAGAGAAGTGTCTCAGATAATACTCTGGTGGCCATGGACTTCTCTGGCCATGCTGGGCGCGTCATCGAGAACCCCCGGGAGGCTTTGAGTGTGGCCCTGGAGGAGGCCCAGGCCTGGAGGGTGAGGCCTGGCTGTGTGTTTGTCTGGGGGGGATCCCTGAAATAGGGAGGAAGGGGGGGGCCCAGCTGGGGAGAGGTGCTCTACCTCCCTGAGGTGCTGGATAATGGCCCCAAATGCACCCTGACTCTCTCATGTCTCCCACTGTTCTGCAGAAGAAGACAAACCACCGCCTCAGCCTGCCTACCCCGGCCTCCGGCACCAGCCTCAGTGCAGGTGGGTGACAGCCCCGAGTCCCGGGCAGGGGGCTGCCTCAACTTTTCTGAGCATTCCCGGGGTGAGCAGGTGGTATAGGGGTCCCCTCCCCAAAGTGACCGCCCATGTGCTTCCCCCACCACAGCCATCCACCGCACCCAACTCTGGTTCCACGGGCGCATTTCCCGTGAGGAAAGCCAGCAGCTCATTGGACAGCAGGGCTTGGTAGACGGGTAAGGGGCAGGGCTGGGCAGCAGACCCAGGGATAAGAGAGACTGGGATTCAGGTGGCAGCCAAGGGCCCTCGGGTAACGCCACCCCCTCTCCTATCTTCCGGCAGCCTGTTCCTGGTCCGGGAGAGTCAGCGGAACCCCCAGGGCTTTGTCCTCTCCTTGTGCCACCTGCAGAAAGTGAAGCATTATCTTATCCTTCCGGTGAGCATCCCCTCATACCCCCCATCCCGGAGTCCTGCAGGGAGACACAGGACTCTCAGCAACCTGTCCTCCTCACCAGGCCCCTCCAGAGGCTCCCTGACCACCTGTGCATTTCCCTTTTCCCTGAACAAGAAGTGGAAGGCCGAGTGCCATGGCTCATACCTTTAATCCCAACACTTTGGAAGGCCAAGGTGGAGGATGTTTGAGCCCAGGAGTTCGAGACCAGCCTGGGCAACACAGGGAGACCCCCATCTCTACAAATAATTTATAATTAGCCAGGCATGGTGGTGTGCACCTGTGATTCCAGCTACTCAGGAGGCTGAGATGGGAGCATTGCTTGAGCCCAGCAGGTCAAGGCTGCAGTGAGAGCCATGATGGCACCATCACACTCCAGCCTGAATGACAGAGTGAGAAAATCCTGTCTCAAAAAAAAAAAAGAGGCCAGTGTGGTGGCTCATGCCTGTAATCCCAGCACTTTGGGAGGCCGAGGCAGGCAGATCACGAGGTTAGTAGATCGAGACCATCCCGGCCAACATGGTGAAACCTCACCTCTACTAAAAAATACAAAAATGAGCTGGGTGTGGTGGTGCGATCCTGTAGTCCTAGCTACTTGGGAGGCTGAGTTGGGAGAATCACTTGAACCCAGGAGGCAGAGGTTGCAGTGAGCCGAGATTGCACCACTGCATTCCAGCCTGGGTGACAGATCAAGACTCCTTCTCAAAAAAAAAAAAAAAAGAAGAAAGAAAAAGAGAATAAAAGGGAATGGATGGGGTCCTGGCTATGGAGGGAGCTCCCGAAGCCTCGGGCCCCTCCCTGACCTCCCACCCCCTCTACTGTACCCCAGAGCGAGGAGGAGGGCCGCCTGTACTTCAGCATGGATGATGGCCAGACCCGCTTCACAGACCTCCTGCAGCTCGTGGAGTTCCACCAGCTGAACCGTGGCATCCTGCCATGCCTGCTGCGCCACTGCTGCACGCGGGTGGCCCTCTGACCCGGCCACAGGCTGGCTCATGCCTCAGCTGCCTTCAGGCTGCCCACCACCCCTCCACGCATCTAGTGCACAGTGGGGGACGGGATGAGGAGCGGGAGGGTTCCCTCACTCCAGTTTTCTCCTCTGCTTCTTTGTCTCACTCAGGTAGAAAACAGCATCCCCTCCAGTCCACTCTAGAACCCTCTCCTCAAGGGAAGGCCTGGGGTGGCCCCCTCCCCTTCTCCTAGCTCCTGGGTGCTGCTGTAGGGTGGGGCATTATGGGAGTAGTGGCAGCCCAGGTGGTCTCATGCACCACACTTTGTACAGACTGAGAGGTCAGTTATCTGCTGTTTTATACTAGTGACAATAAAGATTATTTTTTGATATACCTATGAGCTGAATCTGGCAAGGCCTGGCTGGCTGAAGTCAAGAAGGGGACCAGAGCTGGGCCTGGTGACTCATGCTTGTAATCCCAGCACTTTGGGAGGTCAAGGTAGGAGAATCGCTTGAGTCTAGGAGTTTGAGACCAGCCTGGGCAACATGGCAAGACCTCGTTCCTACAAAAAATAAAAAATGAGCTGGGCATGGTGGTGTGTGCCTGTAGTCCCAGCTACTCAGGAGGCTGAAGTGGGAGGATCCCTTGTCCCTTGAGCCTGGGATATCAAGGCTGCAGTGAACTGAGATCGCGCTACTGCACTCAGCCTGGGTGACAGAGTGAGAACCTGCCTGGAAAAAAAGTGGGGGTGACTCAGGAAGGTGGGCACCTGTGGAGGCCTTGGTGAAAGTGTCAAATGGATTGAGGCCATGTCCCAGCCGGCCTGGATATTTCCCAAGGTCAAGACTGGTCGTGGTTATCTGAGAGTCTCCAGGGCCCCCCATGCAGCCTGGCACATGGTGGGTGCCCAGTCATTGCTAGTTAAATAAGTGAATGTACAAGAGACCACGATCCCAGAGAGCCTTTCCGACAGTCTAAGCCTAGAGAGGTAACAAGCAGGGCCTGGGAGTTGGAGGCGAGTCAGAGAGCATGCTTGTCCTCAGCTGGTCTTGGACTAACTAGCTGGTGGGACGGTCGGCCCCAGCACACACACAGCTATGCATCCAGCCCCACCACCAAGACACAGAATGGCCCCATCCCCCAACAAGTCCCTGTGCCTCTTACTGCCAGTCCCTCTCCCTCCTCCCCAACCTGAAACCTCTGTCCTAGTTCTGCCCCTTCCAGATAGCCATACGAATGGAGCCTGCTACAATTCAGCCCTCTGTGTCTGGCTTCCCTCTCCAACATGTCCTTCAACACCCAGAGTGATCATTCCCAAATAGAAATCCGCCACTCCCCTGTGCCTCCAATGAAGCCCACATAGACACTGTAGGGTCTGGCCTCTGCCCACTGCTCATGCCAGTCTATGTTTTTGTCTAAGAGTTTTTTTTTTTTTTTGAGATGGCGTCTCACTCTATTGCCTAAGGTGGAATGAAGTAGTGCAATCTCAGCTCACTACAACCTCCATCTCCTGGGTTCAAGCAATTCTGCCTCAACCTCCCAAGTAGCGGGGACTACAGGCGCTTGCTACCATGCCTGGCTAATTTTTTGTATTTTCAGTAGAGATGATGTTTCACCATGTTGGCCAGGCTGGTCTTGAACTCCTGACCTCAAGTGATCCACCTGCCTTGGCCTCCCAAAGTGCTGGGATTACAGGCGTGAGCCACCGCACCCGGTGTTGTCTAAGAGTTTTTTAGTTTCAGCTCTTACCTGATGAGAACTCCTCAATAAATTTATCAGATTGTATCAGGTTGGCTGCACCTGCACTTGCTGCTCAGCTCGGGAGACAGACCCTCTCGTGAACCCCAACCAGTCATTGTTTTTGTGAAAACTCCAAATCTGAATCTGATTCCTTGGATTCAACAACTAGTTTACGGGAAATACAAGGGAAACAATGACAAAAATCCAGACTGGGAAATTCTACAGAACAGATAACCCAGTTTCTTCTTCAATAGCAACAAAATTACGAGAAAATATGGGGAATCTCTAGATTTCAAGAAATTTAGACATATGTCAACCAAATGATGTGTTGACCTTTGATTCAAATCCAAACTAACTTAAAAAGCATTTATGAGCAATTGGGGGAGATTTGAATTCTGATGAGATAGATATTTGATGATATTGAAGGATTATGGTTAACTTTTTAAGGTATAGTCATGGTATTGTGGTTATGGTTTTTTCTGAGTCTTTATCTTTAAGAGATTCATTGTGAAGTATTTAAAGGTTAAATCACAAGATGTCTCAGCTTTGTTTTTCTTTTTCTTTTTTTTTCAACTTTTATCTTAGATTCAGGGGCTGCATGTGCAGGTTTATTTCCTGGGTATATTGAGTGATGCTGAAGCTTTTTTTTTTTTTTTTTTTTTTTTTTGCCAATCGTTTGAGCTTATGAGGTTGCTCAGGTTAGCCTTGAACTCATGACCTCGCCTTCGCAAGCACCACGACCTCCGGCGGGAGCCACTTTGGACCCCGTGAAGCTTTGTTTTTAAAATAACCCAGTGGTGACCGGGTGCAGTGACTCATGCCTGTAATCCCAGCACTTTGGGAAGCTGAGGTGGGAGGAGTTTGAGACCAGCCTAGGCAACATAGTGAAGCCCTCTCTCTACAAAAATAAAAAATAAAAGATTAGCCAGGTGTGGTGACATGTATCCGTGGTCCCAACTACCTGGGAGGCTGACGTGGGAGGATAGTTTGAGCCCAGGAGGTTGAGGCTTGTGTGAGCACTGATTATATCACTGCACTCAGCCTGGGCCACAGAACAAGAGCTTGTCTCAAAAAATAAAATAAATAAAATAAAATCCAGAGGTCAAGGGAGAGGGTGTGGGCACGGTCACGAGTTGACGTTGGTTGAAGCTTGGTGATAGGTACTAGGTATGTGGGGATTTGCTAAATTATTCTTTCCACCTTGGTATATGGTTGGATCTGCTAATATATATTGCTATATATATTTTAATGGAGAGCCTCTCCTCACATCTTTGGGGCTGACTGGGCAGGAGGTGGTGAGATGCTGTTTTGTAGGTGAGGAAACTGATGGCCCAGTGGGCAGCCTGGCCCCAGATCACAGTGGGAGAGCCGAGATTCCAACCCAGGTCTGAGAACCAGGTCTGGGCATGTTCTGCTCCCCCATCTGGCTGACTTCCAGGTGGCATTCCTCAGCTGCAGTGACAGCAATCGTGGCCTATGGGTTCCTCTGGTAGAAAGCCTCTGCCTTCCCTGCATTCCCTGCAGCCTTGGTCTCTGGCCTGGAGGGTTGTCCTCAGGTGACCTTGAGACAGTTCAGCCTCTGCAATGAGCCCCTGGGCTGGGCTTGGCAGCCCTGGCAGCTGCTCCTGACCAAGGCACCCCCCCATCCTTGGCTAATCTCAGGCTGGGAAGCTTGGAGCCAGGCCTGGCAGACAGAGGTGGGCAGAAAGATCTCATGCACACCCTAGCTGGGACCTCCTGGGAATCTGCCGGAAGTCCTTACTGCAGCCCAAGTGCAGGAAGGGTGGCAGATTTTTGTTTTTTTGAGACGGAGTCTTACTTTGTTGCCAGGCTGGAGTGCAATGGCGCGATCTCAGTTCACTGCAACCTCTGCCTCCTGGGTTCAAGCAATTCTTCTGCCTCAGCCTCCCAAGTAGCTGGAATTACAGGCACCCACTACCATGCCCGGCTAATTTTTTCTTTTTTTTTTTTGTATTTTTAGTAGAGACGGGTTTCAACATTGTTGGCCAGGTTGGTCTTGAACTCCTGACCTCAGGCAATCCGCCTGCCTTGGCCTCTCAAAATGCTGGGATTACAGGCATGAGCCACCACACCCGTCTATTTTGCTGCTTTTTAGCAGTACTGGAGGCAGGGCCCAGTGCAACCTGCTGCCTGCCAACTGCCAAGGTCCCCAGAGCCATAGGGTTGCGGCTCAAGCACCGAATGGGGCAGCCGTGGCTGCCGTGACTGTGTGGCTGGCCGTGGGTACCCAGGGTTACTTCTGAGGTGTGGGTGTCAGGGTTCCAGACTGGGGTG